TGTTGAAAAAGAAAAGGCTAGAACACATAGCTAGCTAGCAGAAAAAGCAGAACACAAGAGTAAACACTATATATTGGTAAAGCAAATCACAGTACACACAGAACCTCTGGAACAGAAAATCCTGCAGAAATGTATTCCAACTTCAGCAGGTAAGGTGAAGAGAGTTACCTATACTCAAAGGTGATCTGACACACAGTTTTTCAATGCCTGTTCTCAACTTCTCAGCTACACCGATATGAAGACTGTTTTAGCAATCAGTTCAAGTTTGTATAAATCATTACATTTCTGCTTATGTAACTTCCAGCTGTGCAGAGTTATGCGTCAGTATCACTGCATACATAAAGTCCATTTGTTCAAAGCCTTTAGAAAATATGCATGTGGCTAGGAAAAAAAGGGTTAACATTAACCATACTCTGGATAAACCAAGGTTCTGCTACAAATACAGAAAGATTTATTCTGCAGAAATGGGGGGAGGAGGGGAGAGTTGCCCTCTTCAGCTCCACTCCACTCTTACACTTCACTGCAGTCAAAACTAAGGTATTGATAGAAGGGAACAGATTTATGGAACCACAAAAGCAGCACTGGGATGAAGAGATGGATGGGAAAGGCAAGCCAGCGGAACCTGGGAAGAAAAACAGCTTCACTGTGAGACCAGGCAGCAATCAATAAAACAAGATGAACCGCAACAGAAGAAGAAAACAGGTATTACGAAGAAGCCATGAGCTACAAGAAAAGATTCCGAATGCCCCAAAAGCTTTCAGCCCAAATAACATTAATGCAAAATGGTGAGAAACTGTTCACAGATTTTTTTTAAACAGTATTATTTTATGCTTTGTCTCAAGAGTGACTGTATTCCAAATGCCTAAAAGGAACCTATTCAGAAATCTAGAAGAGTTGGTGTAAAATGAGAATCAGAATCACAGAATCAATCACTCTCCTGAGCTGGAAGGGACCTATGAGGATCCAGTCTAACTCTTGACTGAGCAACTTAAAAGCTAAACCATATATCCAAGATCATCGTCTAAACACTTCTTGAATACAGAATATGAGCATTCCATCCAGTTCCAGGTATAAATTATACAGGAGACACTCTTTGCTGGAGGCAAGAATTTACACAAACAGGGGCCATGATGCCCCCTGACAAAAGACAGGGGTTACATCTGGAGGAGGCCAAGCTTAAGGTCAAAACCAAGAAAAAGTACATCTAAGTGTTCCAGCCCCTAACTGAAGGCACACGTGATTCATCAGTTTGAACTTCTCACATTGGAGTTAGGATCCTGCAGAAGAATTCTGATTAGCCCTGTAACAGCACTTGATTTTCTGTAAT